TACAAACAAAATACAATTAACTACAAAAGAGTTTTTTTTATTTTATATGTTAATGTATCATAACATAATGTTAGCCGACGACTGACACTTTAAATATTTAATTAAAAATTAATTATGGACTAACAAACAAAAATGAATGCACTACAAACTACAATAATCTACAAACAAAATACAATCGATTCCGTACATATTTTGTTAATTTTACAATACATGTCGACTAGTTTCATGGTCTACAATTAAATAATTAATTAAAAATTAATTATAAACAAACAAACAAAAATGAACGCACTACAATAATCTACAAACAAAATATAATTGATTTCACACCTAATTTTTTTTAAAAAGTATCAGTCGGCTAACATCATACGAATTATATAACTATCCAAAACTAGATTCTTAGCCTCTCCGAAACTTTTCTCAACATAATTCTAATATATATTTCGAAACATAATCTTCAAAATATCTGAATTGAGGGAAATATCGAAAGGAAAGAAGCTATTGGCTACGTTGAATTTATTGTTAAACGCAAACTGTAAAAAAACAAACACCTTACACGATGAAACGTGTTTTTCACGTGCGTTTACTCCCCTGGTCGGAAGTACCGTAAAACACTCTGTACTTAAGTCCCGGTCTACAATAGGTGTTTTAAGCCCTAAGCCTTAAGAAATTGTTCAATCACAATTGAATTTGAGGAGAATAATTGACTGTGATTGATCAATTTCTTAGGGTTTAGGGTTTAAAACACCTATTGTAGACTGGGACTTATTATACTACGTTTACGCGAGCGTTACTTCTGTAGTAACTTACGATAATTCCTTCGCGTAAACGGGATTTTGTAGTAACTTATGATAATTTACTCCGCGTAAACGAGTGATATATCGTAAGTTACTACAGAAGTAACGCTCGCGTAAACGTAGTATTAGTGCCTATCTACAATAGGTGTTTTAAGCCCTAAGCCTTAAGAAATTGTTCAATCACAGTTGCATTTGAGGAGAATAATTGACTGTGATTGGTCAATTTCTTAGGGCTTAGGGCTTAAAACACCTATTGTAGACGGGCACTTATGTTTATCCATCCGTAGAATTAATATGAACGGGATGAAAACGAACGTGATTAAGTCGCCATATTGGCAAGAGGAGTCTTCACTACATCAATCGACCGCCGATTATATAATCGATGATCAATTCTTTTGAATTTGCATGAAATTCAAAATGTATCGGTTATCATGAATGGAGACTGTCGAAAATTTTAAATTGTTCGATTTTTCATGGAAGATTTTTCGTCCGAGCGAAGAATGGATGGCAGACGGCAAGTGTGTCGACAGTGTCATGTAGTGCAATCGGCGATTGTTTTTGTAAAGTTAAATTGCGAAATGTGTACTTACTGTTGACGGTAAGGACGCCTGAAACTTTCGCCACTTCATTCTGCAGGAGAAAAGGCTTGGCGACTCTTAAAGCGCCAGCGGTTGCTCTCGACACAGCGTTCAGGATCATGGTCGGTCGATGGAGGAGAGACTATTGGAACGTGCGTTCAATGAGGTTCTTCACTAACTTTTGCTCCCGCACTGGGGAGCCACTGTGCCTGGTAGCTAACGGCGCAAATTTCAAAGCAGCGAAAGAATAAAAAAGAATTGTGATAATAATGAGTGGCAAAAAATACGCAAAGTAGTCTGTGGAAAAATTTAAAAAAGAGCTCCGTTCTCGGAGAGCAAAAGTAACGGGGAAAAAAAAGGATTTACAAGATTGGTAAAATAGATCGTCAATATAGGTTATTATGTCTAATATACTCTTTACTCGGCGAACCAAATTGTAACAGAGTTATTTCAGTTAATGAATGCGAACAAACATTATTAATTGACATAGGGCCGGTATCACAGTCTCTGATTAACGTGATTCTCCCTAGATTCTCCGATTAAACTCACTCTTCGTCTCTTTCTAAGGGGATAGTTAGAAAGAGATGCAGAGTGAGTTTAATCGAAGAATCACGTTAATCGAAGACTGTGATACCGGCCCATACAGTCATAATATTTTTATTACAATACTGATTTTTCCCATATGTTAACAATTAGTGTTTGAAACTCGCGCGGAATACTACCGATTTTGATATGGTGCTGCACTCTATGCTAGCTTTCACTGAAGAACCTCATGATAGGGTGATAAGGCCATCGCACACAAAATGCATAGCTTAGCCACAGTATAACCATCAGTGACCTCATAGAAGTTAGCCGGACAATTTCGACTTACGACATTTTTTTTTTTACGAATCGATTGTTAGTCGTTTGTTATTGATTGTTAGACTAATTAGAACGTTTGTTAGTTAATAGTTTTTACGTAATCACAAAAATAATTTTTAGTGTTAATTTAGCCGGTAAATATAGAATTCTTTACAATTTTCGATTCAAACCGTGGTCAATCGATGCGGAATCGTTTGTTAGTTCCGAATATACTAAGTAAAACGTTTGTTAGATCACGGTTTCGCTAAAAAAAGCGAAAAACTGTATATCGTTTAGCTGCCGGAGAGTGGAGGTGAGACGTAGAATATGTGGTGGTTTCGGAACGCATTACGTTATAGTTTATCAACACGGGAAACGTGCTTAACCTATTTTCAATTTATTTGTCAGATTTGTTTATGCCTAATACCTGGCTACATTTCACGTGCAAAAATATAGGTAAGTGTAAAATGCAAATTTAATTCTGAACTTAGTAAAAAGTATCCTTGCAATATGAAAGAGATATAGATTGCAAAAGTAGAGAGGTAACCTACTAAAGTTGTATTTGAACAATTACATCAAATTACAGATTTATGAAATATAGAAATAAACTTATATTGTATGTACAAGTAGATATAAGTAATTTTGTCATCGTATCGTACGGAAACTCGCAGTTTAAACTAACTATAAAATTGTTTGCAGATGCTTGATGTCATTAATGTCATTAAGAGGTAGAAAAGCAGTGGAATACTTCATGCACTTCCAAGTAAGTTAGAAAAGCATTAGCGAAGCTACTTAATCTTGTACAAATCATATTAAAGTACACATTAAAGAAATATAAATATATTTTGTCATTGTGTAAGGGTTGGAATCTGTCTTGGGACAAACGCAAAAAGAGAAGCCATAAGATGTCAAAGCGCTTAATCGAAACGAAACAGAGCATCAAGAACCTCGTCGTAGAGCGAGAAGTGGTGGCAGTCGAGCTGCATCATCTACGACCGGAATTTCCGAAGATGGCAGTTCAGGCCAACACGCTGATTATTATACAGAAGTAAGTTTCATTTTCAAGTTACAAATTTGATTTTGGACGTTTCAGAACTTTTATAATTTAATAACAGAAAGAGATAGTAGCAATAACTTGAAAAATATGTGTAACGCTGATTGACTATCGTGTTGTGAGGGCGTAATTTTCTTAACGTTGCCGCGCTATGAAAGGTTTAATTTACTGCATGATTTAATTTATCCGTATGATATTGCAGACCGAGGATTGCGAAAGTAAGAAAAGTTTATAAGAATTACATTTGTAATTTATAGGACGTAAACATAGAAGAGGATACAGAGAGTAGTTCTGATTACATGGGTGAAACGAGTAACGATGAACACAGTGGGTGGTGGTAGCCAATCTGGAGCCAGTATGAAACCAGGCGATGATCTTGCTACAGATAGCACATTAAAACGGATTCTAGAGCAGGATTATGACCTAATGAGTATTAAGAACAAGGTAAGCTAGTAATTAAATTTTAGTTAATATACATATATATTACAGATAAGCTATAAAGCGTTTGTGCCGGATACATTTTTCAACAACTAAAAACTATTCCTGCTGTTTGCATTTTATTTATTTTTCATATTTAAATTAAAATTATACAAGGATTGTAATTTATGTTAAAAACTAATCTTTCACTGAAAACAAATATCATACAAATATATCACTGATATTTATTTCAGCTTATACTTCCGGCGCAACCTACTGTGATAAATATTCCAGAATCTCTGGCACAGCATTTCACTACGACGCAGTTTACGAATATCCCAGAGAAACCTTAATTCTCATATCGCAGTTTACGAATGTCTCAGAGAAACTCTCTGATTGTGTCGATTAATTATCGAACGGAAAAAGGAAAATACAATAGCAATGTTTTTTTACGTATCAGGATAAGCTGTGATTATATAAAAAAAAAAGAAAAAAATAACGGAAAACAGAACCGAGCAGGAACAGGACGCAACTGTATTTCTAGACAGTCTGATTTTGTAAATTATTCTACGAGGAAAACACTTGTGTATTATATATATATGTATATGCGGATATGCGATATACAATTTGATATGATATATGATCTATGACGTTTGTTTATTACTATGTAAAGTGACAGACTTCGAAATTAAACATTAATTACTGTTAATCGTGGCGTTTTGAATTTACTCTTTTTCTTTTCTTTTACCTAAAGAGGATCATGAGAAAGTGAGAAAATTCCAAACGCTGCGAGAGTGCAGACACAATGGACATCCGAATTTTACAAAACGTGAAAAAACATTCGTCTTTTCTCATCTCTAAACTCCTCAGACCGTGTTAATATTTAAACAAAATAATTTACACGTCACTCATAGAGCTAGCGCGATAAAAAAATAAGTTAACATTCGTTGAAACAACATTATACATTTATGCCTAACAATTTTTTGTGCTTGCACTCGCGAATCTCTTGCCGACGTGATACTCGATTTTCTCACACAGAATTTCTTGCTATAAGACACAAAGGGGAGTTTACTTCTTGCGGAAAATACTCGACATGCTGGGCGATTCAATTTTCTGTTGAAGAGATCTTGTTCATCTTCTGGCGCATATCCTTGGCAGACATTCACCGTCGTCATCGATAGGGAAAACCCGGAGCTCGTCGAGTGTCCTGGAATGAAGATAATTTTTTTACAAACGTTTAAACATTTTTCGTTATCGAGAAAATGTGTACAGGATACATAATGTTTCTAGAAAAGTATTCAATGGTCCAAAGATATCGAAATTCAGAAATATTCTACCAAATCTACTATGGATTATTGCGACTGTAGATTACAATTATATAATCACAGTAATTTCAAATCCAGGTCGCTGCCTGGTCTGCCGAGATCAGGAGATCTTTTTTTCGGCAATCAAAAATTCCAAGAAAATTAGCGTGTCGCTATAATAATGAGGGATGTTCGAAAGATTGCACCGCGTGATAAATTACAGTAATAAAATATAAAATTTCTTATATTTCTTTACCTCTGTATGTCTTATAGTTATTAATTCGTCAATTATTATAAACACGATCAGATATGTTTAGATTAACATAATTATTTTTATTCAATACCTATCTATTGGCTTCATTCAGTAAATACTGCCTGCACTCCGCTTCTCTGAGCAAGAAACGCACTGCATCTTCTTGCTGAGGTAGGCATTGATTTACCAACGTTTTGAGATGCCTCAGTTCCGGTAGTACTACTCCGGAAGCGCATTGACAGCATCAACGAGTTTCTAACAGCAGCTGATATTGGTATGTAGGAGCAACATTCAACAGCTAGTAATCTTCTCTCTGTGTACTTGTGTTGACTCTGCTCCCAACAAATCGTTAGAATGTCTTCCAGTAGGAGTTATTTTGAGAGATCTACCCCGGGAGCTCCGAGGGGGGAGCGGGGCGGAGGGGTACCGCGGGCAAGGGGGGAGCGGGGCGGGGGGTACTGCAGGCAAGGGGGGAGCGGGGAGAGGGAGTCCGCGGGGAGGGGGGTGGGGGACTCGAGGGCGAGGGTGCCCGCGGGGAGGGGGTGGGACTCGTGGGCGCGGGTGGTCCGCGGGGAGGGGGGGTGGTTGGCGAGCATGTCGGGACATGTTTATTAAATGTTAATAAACGTATTGTTGACAAGGGTACCGCCGAGAGGGGGGGGGGTGTCCGCGTTCTACGCCGAGGGTGGTCCGGAGGGGGAGGGGGGGGCGTCACTTTATCGGCGCGGGGTATACAAAAGCGATGGGCGCCGTTCGGCTACTGGAATTTTATCGGCGGCGCGCCGCGGGAGGATGGGGGTCCGCGTCCAACGGCCACGTCGGTCCGCGTGACGTCACACGGCTCGCTCGCGTTGTCTTCCCCTCAGCGCGGTCTCTCTCTCTCGCTCCCGTTCCTTTGTCTCTCCCCCGTTCGCGCGCGTCTTTTCGTTGGCGTTCTCTTTTCCTCGCGCGGATTTAACTTAATAATTATTATTATTTAAAATATTATTATTATTATACTTAATAATAGTGAAGAAAGCGGAAAAATAAATGATATATAGAATTAAGCATAAAAAATATTTATTCATAAAACTTTAAAAAATTTTTTAAAAATTACCACACCTCTTCCTCTTCAACGTCAAACTCATTTTGCATATCGAATAATCTTCGTAATTGGAAGATATCTTCATCTCCTAAAACGTCCCAGATTTCCTCGTTGTATTCTGAATCCACTCTTCTAAACCAGCGTACCAAACGCTGACGATGAATATTGATGAATCCCCGAATTCGGATTTCATCAAAATATATAAAACGCTAAAAAAAATTTAAAAAAATTTAAAAAAAGTTTAAAAAATTTAAAAAAAATTAAAATCTGTGAAAAAAATATTAAACACACCTGTCTGTGAGGGATCCGAACCCTCACCATATTATAAAGGCGGACCTCGCGCACCGGCACGTTGTCGACCCATATCCACTGTAACGCGTTAACAGAGAATGGTTAATTTTTTAAAAAATATATAATATACAATTATGTATTATTGCGTGCATGCCGCCCGGTATGTTTTTTCAAAAAATGTTACGACAGTGAGTCCGTGACTCTCTCAGACACTTATTCACACTCGCGCACTCACGAAAATAACGACGATTTAAACGATCGTCGTGACGAACTGCACGCTTCAGCTTGGAGTTCGAAAAGCATACCGGGCGACACGCACGCAACGGTATTAAGTATACATACTCCTACTGCGGGGTACACAATATCTATGCATTGTTCGATTATGTGATATCTCCGTTCCATTTCATCTCGTTCCTCTTCTTCTCGGTCCATTTCGTATTCTTACACACCCCAGTAAAACAGGAACGTCACGTCGAATCACGTAATTTCGTCGAATCCACGTCGAATTCACGTAGCAATAACGTGGATCCACGTACTGTTTTTATCGGGCAGTGCGAGTCTACTTGCGCTTGCGAACGTTTTCACACTACTGACTT